TCTCTCTCTCTCTCTCTCTCTCTCTCTCTCTCTCTCTCTCTCTCTCTCGCAGGCACACTTTCTTTCCCCGTGGTTCTCGTCGTTCATGGAAAAGACGCTTCGAAATATCTTCCAGTTATAGAGGCATTATAAGTGCCGCGGGGAATAAACAGCCTTAAGTGCGCGCACCACGATGCGTATCGGCTTTTCCCATTACAAACCTGAAAAGACGTCGTCTTCGTCGACAGTCGTCCTTCCCCCTTTTCCGCCGTCTGCGACCGTCTACGTCCTCTCCCTTGCCCCCGCGACGTCGCGCAGCTTTTCCATTTTCACCTCTCGCGCCCATTCCCGCCCCGTCCTTCGCTCTCTTTTCTACCCCTCGTTGCCGCCGCGGTCGCATGGCTGCGTGCCAGTTGCAGCTTGCAATTGCAGCTGCATATCTCGACCGAGGTGGTGGGAAAAAAAGAGAAAGGAGCGAGGAGGGGGACGCGAGGGTTAGAGGCGCAGGTGCAGCCGGAAGTACGTCGGGGGTCCGAAGGCGGGGGAGGAACGATGAAACTCGAGCCTCGGGAACATCGTCGGCAACTCCGACGCTTCCGGGGAGCAAAGCCGATTACTGTTTTTGTCGGGTTAATTATACGGAATTGAGTTAATTGCAACTTGATGAGATCCTCTCTCGATGGATCCGCCTCGAATCGAGAGACGATCGAGAACCCGAAACGTCAACTCGACCGTTTGTCTCTCGCTCTTGAGGGAACGAGAGGGGGCTGGGGGTGCGAGAGTTGCCGGTTTGCAATGGGCACGAGCCGCGTTTCTCCAACCCTCTCGAGAGTTCTACCTTTAGACGGTAAAGAATTATTGTTTTCCCGTGTATCGTTCTCGCGAGAACCCTTCGATCCTCGGATTTTCAACCCTTCCACGTACGCGACACCCCTCTTCCCCCGCGGCCCCGCAATAACAACTTTTCCACGGCTACCTTTTTCGAGGATTTAAACTTTCCGCGGAGCTACTTTCGAAGTAAAAGCGCCCGTCGTCACCGCGGTGGCGCGAGTTGTTAGCGGCACGTGCACCGGCAAAACCGGCGGAAAAGTGGAAGGCCCTATATGGAAAGTTTCTCGCAACTTTGCTGATTGTATTGAGCGAGCGATGCATAATCCAATGGAACGATGACGGGGAAGACGTATGGGGATAAAAAGCGCGAAGCATGGCGTAAGCTCGCCCTTATCTGACGGTGTATCCCGTACAAGATTTACCGAGTTTACGTGGAATCGCGAATACGAAGTTCGACGTTAACGATAGGTGGATTTTTCCTTTCTCCCTTTCCTTCTTTTTTCTTTGCGAAGAAACGGGGTTACGTTGCGAAATGGCGGGATACGGAATCGAGTGAAAAGACAGGCGCAATCGTATCGAGAAAAATTGCACGCCCGCAAACGGAACGAATAATTCAACGACGTTTCGAATGTCGCGCCTAATTGCTCTCGATTTAAATACTCTGCCCCGCTGGTAAACGGGGATATTCATTGTTCGCGCGAACGATTCAGCGTAGCGACTTAATTGTCACGACGAGCAGGGAAAAAGAATATCATTGTACACCGGGCGTGTAGAAAGCGAACGAACTGGAAATGACAAAGGGCAAAGTGGAAATTAATTAAAGGCGACGCCGATGTCGTGCCACGTACGTAAACAGGGGTATACGAATTAATTTTCCGAAATAAACGTTGAAACAGAAGATTTGGCCGCGCGCGAGTCGTCGGGTAGTTCCATTTCGCGGGAGAATAGTTTTCAAACACCCTGCCGCCGCCATCCGACACCCTTTCCAGTTACACGGACATTAAAAGTACTACTTAGAGTGGCAGCAGTTATATATATATAGAAGGGTGCAGAGAGAAATGTGGGGAGGGTAGAAGCTAAAACAATTAGCCGCGCAGCAGTTTCCACGGGGGTTAAAAGGGGCGGCGGTCGGAGGGTTGTGCAGGTTGCGGGGGAAAGTCTCTGATTCACGGAAATTTCTCTTCCTTTTCGGAGGCCAGACAGGACCCGGCTTCTCGCGAAAAATGTAATTAAATCTCCTTAAAGCGGGGCACACTCGTTAACGAAGTTTAGCCGCTTAGGCGAAAAGAAGCTCGATCAAAAGTACGACTAGTGGCTAGATACCGACTTCTTTCCCTTACTTTTCCTCACTTTTCCTCACTTTTCCTCACTTTTCCTTACTTTTCCTTACTTTTCCTTACTTTGCCTTACCGACCTACCTCTATTTACCACACCTCGCGCTGTCTTCGTCCCTTTCGTCCCATTCACGCCGCCGGAAAGGCTAAGTTTTATGCTTCCCTCGCGTTACAACGCGAAAACGCGACGCGCAGATTCCTCCGAATTAGTCTAATGCGTTCGTTTAGAAGGAACGTTTCGTTGAATGTTACAGCAGCCGGAATGGCGGATCGAGATTAGATGGGGGGATCGCGAGCACGCTGGCGTTCCAGGTATTCGAAGGAAAATTTCGCTGGAAATTAATTCCAGCAGATATCGGTACGCTTCGTAATCGTGTTTCCGGTCCACCATCGCGACTCGCGATTTCTTCGCTGATGCAAATAAAATAAAACAGACGCGTGTGTCGTGTCGACGCAATGACATAAAACCAGCCGCGGGTGTCCACCGAATTCACACGAATTCACACGAATTCCCACGAGTCCGCGACCCTTTTCGAAATTGAACCGCCGTTTATCGGAAAATAACCAGCATCTCGGCAAGATCCAGCGTCTCGCGGCCGCGAAATTGTAGGCGTGCTGGAGCAACGTGTTCCGAGATAGAATCAAAATGGAGTAATCTACCGTAGGCTATCGCCTAAACGCAAACGGCGGCTCCGTTTCGAATCGGTGCAATCTAAGATCTACCCTCTTACACCGGTGTTTTTCGATCGAGCTGAGCGGAGTGTGCGCGGGGGTCGTTTACTCGACCAAACGGTGGCTGGTCGTCGCGCAATCGGAATTCTACGTATCGCGGTGTACGTCGAATCAACGTCACTTACCGCACGGCCCACCGATGCACCGGCATGTTCCATGTCCTCCAGAAGGTGTCGATGTTATCCGCGTTCCACCAGTCGCAGTAGAAATTTCGATCGGCGAAGTGCAGCAGCTCGCCCATCAGATTGAGGAACGAATGGAACATCAGGTAGAAGAAGCACAGCCAGACCAGGTGATTCGGTATCTGCGGACACAAAACGAACACGAGCGTATGAGAAACGGGATTTGGAATATCGACGAGGGTTGTGGCGCAGCCACGGGCCGCGACGTTTATTTAAGTCGAATAGACGTCCCTTTCATCTTCCCTGTTTACGCCTGTGAAAGGTTTTTCGCGCGTGCACGGTTTCGCGCGCGTCGATCTTCGTTGGATCGCGGACGTGCAACGCGGGCAGAGAAACGCGTAGCCGGCGGCTATGCCAGCCAATATTTTATGTTCTTTTGTCTCGTATCGTCGTCCAGGGGGCTGCTCGTTAATCCGACGCGAATTCGCGTCCCTCGATATTCCATTCCCCCAGCCTACGGGCGGACGTGGAATTTCGCGTAATTCTTAACCAGCGTTAGCGCACCCTCGCGGGGATGAACCCCGAGCGACGCATCGGGGAAAAGGAACGACGGAAGAAAGCAAATGTGATAGTCGTTGAAGCGCGGCTACTAAAGGAACACGGTGGCTGTTTCGCGTTGCGAAATATTTAAAATGACCCGCTAATGGCGACACAAAGGACTAACGGGTGGGACGGAGGGGAAAAGAGAAAGAGTCGCGGGTGTTATTCGCATTGGACTCTGGCCGAGAGGTAATTCCACGCTCGAGTCCGCCCGAGTCCTCGTCGAGTCGCGTTGGTGGGCACCGTAGGTGGACGGTGGCGCGAGTTCTCGGAAAAATGGCGAGCCGGAATGACATCACCCGGAGCGCGATCGCTATGAGGCAGAGAAGAATCGCGAGGAAGACGTAGAAGAAGTAAAAGGCAATCGCAGCGAGATCAGACGGATTCTTCCGGCGTAACTTTCTTCCATTCCTGCCTGTCCCGCTCGGTCCGACGAAGAATTTTGAAGTTATTTCGTTTCGAATGTCTTCTCTAATTCCCCCTCGAGCAACCTCGCCCCGCTTCCGGCAGCCCTTTACGCGCTCCAAAGGACTTAATAATGTTGCCAAGCACAAAGGTCAAGTCTCTTCTGCCGGCAGGCATTCGTGGCACTTTTATGAAAAGAGAGGGACAGCGCGTCTTTCTTCGCGGAAAGAAGGGGGTCGTCCCTCTGTCTCTCCTCTTTCATCAACCCCTTTTATCACCACCGTCGCGCCGCCACCGTTGCCCCCTTCCTCGCGACCAGCCCACGTACACCGCAAAAACTTAGCTCGACGTTTTAATTTCGTTTACCCCGGCATACCGCCGCTCCGAAGGTTAGAGCAAGGGACTAACGCGAGACCACCCGTTGAAAGGGGCGGGATAAAACCCTGTTGAACCGTTTGAGACACGCCGATGATACCACAAAGGAAAAAGCGGTCGGGTAAACTTTGAGTCTCGGCTTCCTGGCCAGGGGCTATCTCGCAAACGAAACGCCCTCCACCCTCGACCGGAGTTTCCATCAAGGAGGAAAAATCTTGCCGGGTGATATGTGACGTGGCGGAGCCAGGGATCGGCGCGGGAATTTGAATTTTCTCGGTTCGTTTCGCCGGCTCGTGACAACCAACTTTTCCTATTAGCTTTTGTCTCTTCGACCAACTGCTCCTGGTTACGCTACTTCGTTACGCCCCTTTTCACGCGTTCGCTGAAAATTCTCCCAACGACTTTTTCATGGGCCTGTGCGCTCCGTTTTATCACCGCCGCCGTTCTAATCAGTTTTAATCCGTTTTAAGGAGAGGCGTGCAATTTCGGGATGATCAATGGACGGAAATGTAGAGGCTCGCGAGAACTCGTATCGGGGGTTGTAACGGAGTATTCGGTAAAAAATCGAATCACGTTTACCCCGAAAGTCCGACGAGCTTAAACGCGGCCGACGTCTTTGGCGAGACGGAAAGAAACTGCCACGTCTGGTATCAGACGTTTCAGAGTATCGAAGATCGTGCCGTTATTAAAGCAATATTTTTTCAAGGGATCGTCTCGTGGCTCAAAGAGCGGAACGGGAGATCGATCTCCGATAGAAAATCGTATCGCGTTCGTTGAAGAAGAAATAATGACGAGGTTAAAGGATCGGGCAATTTCGCCGTCGTCTCGGCGAGACGTCTATAAAGTTTGCTCAATTTTTCTCCCGTTCCTGATTGTTATTCTTACATCCCGTTCTTCATACGATAACAGCTACTCGAGTTAGATTACAGAGGCGCGCAGGCCTCGCTGCTGCAGTAAATAGTACGTGACGTGCTCCCGCGAGAGCAACGGTGAACAGACGAAAAAGGAGAAGCAGGGAAAAGAAGCGAGGAAATAAGAGCGCGACGCTGAAGCGCGGCAGGGGTTCGGCTGAAAATGGAAAATATTGATTAGCTACTTAAGAATGCGTAAGAAAATTGCCAAAGATTTCTGCGCCGTCAGGATTTGAGGACGGAGAAACGATAAGGACGTTAACGCGTTGCGACTAGTCAAGGAAATACAATTATTATCCCTAGTTCCAGGGTTGAAAAGAGAGTTTCACGGGGTAACGTAGGAGAAAGAGAGGTTACTTATCGCGAATGGTACGTCGAGGAACGAGAGATCTCGACCAGTTGGCGACGTGCTGAAGAAACGAACAAAGCTCGGGACGCCGAATTCCGGAAGACGATCGCTGGACATTCTCGCCCCCGATTTTTACGCGATTGGCTAACGATACCGGCCACCACGGTCGTGTCCATATTACGTTCAACCGTGGGTAAGTACATATCGGAAATTCAATGGACCCTCCTCGTCGTATGCCTGAATCCAATATGCCTGCATTATTGATGGAAATCGATCGATCGTTCCTTCCGTATATATGCATAAAGCACACATTACAGTCTAACGCAGGACCACCTGCAACGACGGGACACGACACTCTCTCTCTCTCTCTCTCTCGTTCTCTCTCGCTCTCTCACCAGGCCCTTCGTCTTTTTCGTTAGAGGGGCTGCTGCCGCGCGTCAAAGAGATTCCGAAACGAGCGACGAGTGGACGGAGCGAAGGGTCGTGCTCGTATAAAGCAGATCGATCTAAGGAAACGACCTCGTTGGCAGCGGACTGCAGGAAAATTGCGTTTCCCCATTACGACGAGATTAAAGTCTCGTCCTACATTGCAGTTTCAACCCCGCCTGCCGCGCCGTCTGCGCCCTCTCTACGCCGATCTATCCCCTTGGTCGAACACCGGCATCCTCTGTCTTCCAAGTTCAGCCGAGGTTCGTATATAAGAACCGCAATTAACCGACGACGGTCATGGTCTGTGGTCGCCTGCGACCAGCCTCGCAGTTATTTGCGGTGTAAACGAAAATAAGGATTCGCTGTATGAGCCTCGTGTATCCCGGAGGTGCTCTCTCCCGTCTTTCTACCCTTCCTCGGGCTTTCTTTTCTTCCTCGGGCTCTCCTCTCTCGCAGATTTCATTGCTCGATCGACAAACAATTATTTTTCCCCGCTTCAAAACTACCCTCCTTGCTTTCTCTTTACCTCTTCCTCTCTCCCTCGCCCTCGCTGCCAACGCGATGCGGAGAGGGTGGAAAACAAGAAGGGACAAAAGAGGCGTCTCGAGAATGAGCAATCCTTCTCGTGGCGTGACTTATGAGATTGGAAGAGGAGTTTTCGTTGCGCTCGCCTCGAGGAACCTTCGACCGAGCCACTTATATCTCCCAGTTAAAGCTCGCGTCGATATCGCTCTCGAAGACGGTTATTACCGGTCGACTTCGCTCTTCGATTTTTCCGGTAATCCCCCTTTCCAAAAATTATTTGATCCCCAGTCCCAAGCTTTCTCTCTTCCCTTTTCCCTCCATTTTTTCCATCCTTTTTCTCCTTTTTTTCGCGGGGAAAGAGGTCGAGAGTAATCCTCGATGATTTAGAGAGAGGGAAACTTGATTTTTCCACACGAGACGACGGACCAACCAGACCGTTGTTTGCACGTCGAGCCGCAGACGTCGATAATTAATGACGCGATAGGTCCAATTAACTAGCGCCGGGGAAAAATTTGTTAACCAAGCCCGCCGATGCGTGGCTTTTTGGCCGGCGTTTTAATCGCAAACAACCAGCAACGCGACTAACAGCGAAAGGACGCTATTATACGCGCGCCGGGAGGACGTTCGCGGTAGTCGCTTTGGGACCAAGTCATATAATTGAATTCGGTTCACCGAGTCCGGCTCACTGATCGAAACACTACGGCTGGCTAGTTTCGATCTGGAGCATTTGGACTAACGAGAGAATAACGAGCACGAGTAACGACGATCGAATGGAATCGGGCCGTCGGCCTGGACGTCGCGTCGTGGCCAAGTGGAACCAACACAACGGCGAAGGCGCGAGACGGATGTACTGGGTGATTCTTACAGAATCGCCGGCTGTCTGCGAAGATTCAAACAGCGTCATTCCGGCGAAGCCTGCGGTCTGTGATATATAAGGGTACCCGCACTGTGGTGCATTTATGGTCCTTTACAGGAGGAACCAGAGACAAAGGTCTCGTTAAAGACTCGAGATATTTTTCGAATCCGGTAATCGAGCGAAGCCTCGCGATTTCGAAAAGGCACGAAAGATTCGGCAAGGACGAGAGGCAATTGCAATCTTTTCCGTAATTAAATAGCTCGAGGCAATTTTTTATCCGGATTTCAGAGTCTCACGCGGGGCTATAAATTCTCGCGAATTCTTGGATTAACGATGAAAGTAAAAATCCGGTGAAAAGGCGCGGATTGGCGCGAAACGTTGAAAAATCCATCAGTTTCTTCGACGAGCGATCCAATAATGAAATAACGATCGATCACCCTCGGTAAGAATCACCCTGTACGGGGCTGCATGATTTCGTTGGCGAATGCTTGCTCGTATTTGTCCCACCCCACCGACCAATGTATTCTTCGCGTGGCAATTGATCTTTCGTTTATCGAGCACCAGCCTGACACTCGATTGGCCTTTAAACTGCAAACGAGGACGTTCGCGTAAAAAAGTCGAGTGTCGCGAAAGTGCAGGACCCTTTCGGGATACGGTGACCGATATTAAACATTTCGATTGTCAGGCAATATTAGTCGCACGCCGGGTCGCTGTCACGGTAATACCGGTACGGGCCATAAATTTGCGTTTACGCTTTTCCGCGTTCCAGTTAAAAATCCTTCGTCCATTATCGACGACAGGGGTTGCTTATTTGCACGACACTTGTTGTTTCTGTCCGAGCGTGGCTTTCACGTTAATACCGGAAAATGTTGCGGACAGGGCCAACTCGAAAACCCATTTTTCTGATTACCCTTCCATTAATGCGCCCACCCCCGGCAACCCCCACCCTCGCGTCGGGATCGCCACCTACGGCTGGCTTTTCGTACGCGAGTACAACAACGGTCCGCGATATCACGTTATACAGAATTAATCTAATGGTTTTTATCGTTGATGATGGACGTTGTTCCTTTGATACGCCAGTCGGCGCGTGTATTTTACGCATCGCATACCCGTTCCGACACGGTACACGAGACCGTGCGCTGTTATCGTTGTAAACCCGAAGTGAAAATTTTAATTAACGCATTGAAAGCGCCGAACCGACGGCGCGAGAGGCGAAGAAGGAGAGAGAAAGAGGATCGAGGGTGTCGGATCGCGGCTTTAATGGTACCCGCAAATGTTACGTGTCAAATTATGAAGCGGTGTTTTCCGAGTTTACGTCGCCGGTTATGGGATAACGCGGTTATTTCCCGTTCGAAATTCGATAAAATCCATACATACACAGAGAGGGTCGTCGCCGGTGCTCTCGTGCCTTTGCAAACCAACGACACCCGAGAGATATCGCGATCCAGCCATATTTCCCGACTTTCACGCCGCGCTGTCAACGCGGCCAACAATCGAGGGGTGTAAGAATACGCGACGGGAATTAAGACAAGACGCGAGCTCTCGCCTCTAAAACTACCCCCGGTACCAGGGGTACCTCGGTTTTAAAGGCGGGTGAAAACGCTCGAGCGAATGCAGCCTCCGACTGCTAAACGTCGTCGTCTTCGTCGGTGACGCGCCCGGAGCATCGCGAGCTTTAGGAACCGGCCAGGAAATACGAAGTTCGTAAGAGAATTATACGTGTACGTGCCGCATCGAGGCTACATTGCCTTCCACTTGCGGAATCGACGAAGCAACCGACTTCTCTCTCGTTCCGCGTACAGAAACGTCGCCCGCGGCACGACAGAGGAAAGAATATCTTATTATGAGGGTGAGCTCCACCGGTTCTCCCTGGAAGCGGTGCCTCGAGTCGCTGGCTCGATTATCGATGGTGAAGGCGACACGAGTTACAGGAAAACTCCGTTACCTACGAGTCTACGACTTCTGCGAGCGTATAATTCACGCGGAGGCGACGTGCGCGGCCGCCGCGTCGTTGTACACGGGACGAAAGTTGAATCATGAATTCGTACGTTTCGCGAAAGTTTCGGGCGAACCGGGGTGCATTGAAACGCTCGTAGCCCGCCTCGGCGTTTCGGTTGCCGGAGTCGAAACTAAAGCGTTCGTCGTGTCTATCCGCGGCGGGGGATTTGCAACGGGGGCTGTATTAAGCGGCACACTTATCGGCGACACGGTTTCCGGCGACGCGTCCCAGAGATCGAACGACGCCTCCTGCGAGGACCGAGTTGGCGAACACAACGGAAAGGAGATTGAATTCGCAAATATTGCTCCGAGGCTTTCCGCCTGAGAGGTCTTCGACGGGATGGCGAACGGTTCTGGGAGGATCTCGCGGGGAACACAGGTGCAATAATGTACCGCGTACGCGTTAGGTACGTACGAACGCTACCGAGGGAAAACACGAGACACGGGTTACGGCGAGAACGCGGAAACGCTCGTGGAAGGTTTAGTAATTCTAACGAGGACGCCGTTCCCGCGTTCGGCATCCGCGAATTCGGGCACGATTAATTTCGTCGTATCGCGAGAATCGCGAATTATCGTGAATTCGATCCCGGTCTAACAAGCCGAACGGTCGAGTGCTTCCGGTCGGTGGCTCGCGTCTACCCTATTTTCGACTCGATTGGATTATACTCACGGCCAGTTTCAGCAAACGCTCGGAGGCCTTCGCCACGTCCATGTTCTGAAAAATAAACGAAGTTCGATTATTAATGCGAAGAAAGCCACGTAAGCGGTAAATACGAGCGGAATTGGAAGTTGTAGGAGGAACGGGCGCGGATGGTGGGATCCGGGTGAAACAAGGGTACGAAACGAAAGTTCCTAATTGGATTCAAACCTGCGGAATATGTAGCGGGATTCGCCAGTTCGCGCGGAAATTTTTGCACAATGATTACGATGAACAGCGGTAGCTCGTAATTAAAACATCGAAATAATTAACGGGCTCGTGGTTCTTGTAGGTTCAGCGATGTAAGTGCTATCGCGCGAGTTCGGAAATGTTTTGGAACGCTTGAAAATCGTTCGGACGTGTTTCTACGCGTGAAAAACATCGCGGAAATATTTACCATGGCCAGCGATGAAAACTGAATTATATCGGTGCGCACTATGTCGGCTATTTTTGTCGTTTTGTTTATTTGCTTTATAGGAAGAATGATACTTTTTTGGGAATAAATTTCGCGCGTTTCTTTGACAAACGTATAAAATATATAGACGTAACCCAGCACATCTGTTAGTATTTATATTTATTCATCGTAGTGTATGTAATCCGAATATATCCCCGAAATTTGTCACACTTTGCGCTATATCCAGTAGCCAGTCCCAATGAAAATATAATGCCTTGAATGTTTTCCCTCCGCGAGTCGTGTCATGTAGCAAGGTATCGTAATGGCACATAATAAATAACCATGTTCTTCGGAAAATCCTGAAATACCGTGCCGCGTTTAAAGAGTCCATTTTATAGACTCGGTTTTACGAATCTCTCTCAGGGAAAATCGCGAACCTGTGCATATACGGTTAAAAAGAAAGGAAGAATTTCGTAACGGTACCGAAATTAAAAAGCAGCCGGCCGGCTAGCAGCGACGATGGCAACCGCGTAAAGGTCGCGTAAACGTACGTCGATTAAAACGGCAAGTGATAAACGGAATGAAGAACACGAAGTTCCACAGATTAACAGCGTTCGGTAACTGGGCGCAACGAGTACTTGCGGTCGCTGGAAAGTATCCTCTTATTCCCCCATACTCGAAAACGTCGAAGGAGCTTTCCAGCAATGGAATTGATATTTCGTGCGGTGTACTAATTGAATACAGGGGAAGGAAACTACCCTTCCGGCGTTCCGCTTAAGTGGCGGTTTGTCGAGGTCCCTCCGAATGGCACAACACGAGAACTCGCGAAGCTTATATACCCCGGCTTACAAATAAATACCTAAAGAGCCTCCTGTCGATTTCAACACGCCATTTGTACGCACACGTACACGTGTTCACATATCCGGCCTCGCGCGCGTACGAATGACCCTACACGTGCAAGTACGCGCGCATTTGCGAGCTGATGATCTTAGAATCGTGTACGGCATATGGAAATTATCGATGAGAAAGGTGGGTATGGATGCAATTTTTACATATGGACGCGAAGAACGCGGCGGGAAGTTTCATGCAAATACAAAGTTACGCGTGTGCAACGTGAACGTAATTCGATTCCGTTCCGGAGATGGCAATTTCGCGAACGTTTCGCAGATTAAAACGAAACTATGTATAATTATACGCATCCTGGGATTCGTAATTACAGTGCTTGATGCATGTTCGTTATAAACCGGGAATATAATATTCTAATTTGAGTGGACCCGCGCGGTCTGGGAACGCTCGAACTCGCTAACGAGATGTTCCCTGAATTGACGCTTAAATAATCGTTTTGATCCGCCCGATAAAAGTTTCGCGAAGAAGATAATTGGCGTTCCGCGAGAACGCCGGGATCCGTGGATGAATAGAATTTACAGGGGATTATAGAAGCCGGCCTGCTAGTTCGCTCCTATGAATTTATCGGACGACGAGGAGCCGCCGAATTAAGCAACACGTTGGATCGTTTAACCGCAAATGTTCGGGATTTTCACGGACTTTAATACTTGATGCTCGAAACAATTACTCCGTTAAATAGCTCGTACACGCGACAATATGGGCGATGAACGAAACGGCTAGCCAACCACCGTGACGTATATGGAGCGAAGTAGTTTTCGTTCATTAATGGAGAAATGAAATTACACGCGAATATTAACCTGTACAAAGGACCTTAAACCTACCCACTTTTTCATCCACCCGAGTGCGGTGAATGGGAGAATAATCTAACGAGCCATTTATAATTGGTTCGATCGTGTCATGGATTAGGGACAGGTAGATTTTAAAGGTAGATTTTAGAGGGAGATTTCAAAATCCACTTTCGACGATAGTAGAACGACAGTGGTAGGTATGTTTGGATACGAGAAATTAAATCAGCGAGCATACGATCGACCATTCGAGTACGCAAGTGTGTATATACGCGTGTAGAATGTATCGGAAAGCGTATAATACGGCAAAGTCGATGCATATCGCACGGAAGAATTTCCAAGTACCGCTATACTCGCGTAAGTTTGCAATTCGGAAGACTCGTCAACGACTACGAGGAACCGGGTTACAGATTTCCTCGAGATATTCTTTCTTTACGGCTTCGTGCCGCGCCGGAGTGCTCCGAGGGACCTCGCACCCCGAGCGGCCACTCTCCGACTCACCCCCGAGAGCGTAAGAGGGCATCGCATTTCTCGAGACAATTAACTACCGTGGCATAAAGCTTCATGCTAACATCACTCGAGCGAGAACCCTTTGACCCGAAAAGCGATCAAAGCCCCCAAGAATCCGCTTTAAACTACTTCTCTCTGCAGAGTTCGTCCACGAAAGGCTCTGGCAAAAAATTACGTCCAGGTTCGAACGTGTGCGGCCGATCCGAGGAACGACAAAGGACTTGTTGAATTTCGCCGAAAAACCGGCGGTATCTCGAACGATCGCGTTTCTATTTCCAGCTGAAAGGGTGCTTGGTTGGCTCGAGAGGTTTCGCGAATGAATGGCACAGCTTGAGCCGCGTTCAGCGTGCACAGAAGGGGAAAGTGGAGAAGCGTTCGAAGCGAAAATAAAAGCAGAATGTATCCGTGCCTCTTCTTCCTCGGCGTCCTGACCGTGCGCGAGACGTTGCGCGAGGATCGATCGTCTTTGGTCGAATCAAAGGCCAGAAACCTTCCGGCGAGAAGCCTTAGCGGGCACAAAGGGTTATAATAAGCCGTCTCTGACGAAAACGCGAGAGCACCAGAGGCGTTGGAGCAGTGGTAACTCGAGCCCACGAGCCGGCACCGTTGTCTACGCCACTGAAACTGAATACTGTTCCCCTGGAACGGAACGCGGCCAATTCTTTTCGCCTCGCGAGCGGACCTATAAGCGCTTCTTCGGACTGGGACGAGACGAGGGAGAAGAGAAAAAGGGAGGAGTGGCAAAAAGGAAGGGAATGAGAAACGGTGGGAAGAAGCCGTTTCCATCGTACCCGCGCCGGTCAGGACAGCTACGCCGTTGCAGGCTTGCGCGCTATCGTCTCCTTCTTTCGACATCGTTTCAATTAGCGGCCGGAGATTTACGACTTTGCATCCACCAACACCTTCTTGTCGCGCTGCCGCGAGTATCCTCGAGATACTGGCGACTCGCAGGCTCCGAATTGAATTCCACTCTAGCCGACAATGGCGTAGCCGTCTCCTATAGCGTGCGTACGCGCGTGCTATATCGCCCCTTCATCTAGTCCCGTCACTCGCAGCGGAAAAATTAGGGGTAATTCCGAGAGGAAGGGTCGCGGTGGATCCGATGTTAGCTCGAGCAAACGACGTGGAACAGGCTCCCCCCCCCCCTCTCTCTCTCTCTCTCTCTCTGTCTTCCCTTATTCCATCTCCTATTTTTCCTCGAATCAATTCTCCTGCCTCTTGTCATTTATTAAACGTCATAACCGACGTAACCGTACCATTCACGGATGACGTTGGGTTCCCGAGAGGGCGTGGAAAGACAGACGGGGGCGATACGTTTTTGAGGAACCGTGAAACTACGTCTGTAATTGAATTCCCATCACGGTATAAGCGGAAGTAATAGCGCTTCTCGTTTCGCCTGTCAGTACAGCGCCATCGTTATCACGAACTGGCGAAAGAATTAAGGCGTTCTCGATAACTTTTCTGTCTCGGTTGTTCCCCGAGTCGACGTTCCGTTACAATCCGATACTTTCAGCCGGCGGTACTCGATGTCCGCCGCGAACGAGAATATTCATGGAAGTCTGTTAACGATCGAGTGAACAGGACCTCTATTTCTGGCGAGAAAGGTATCAGGAAGCCACGTCGAGTCGACGAAATAGGATAGCCGGCTTCTTGTCGGTGTCAAGGGCGAAATTATTAAGGATACCTTTCCATTCGTAATAATCTTGGCTGTCAGTTGTACAGGAAGTATCGACTTTTCAGCCCCGACGAGTTGAAATATTTTTACCTGTCGCATTTCACCTTTGCCGCCATCTCGAGTCACCGCTGGTCGTTTCACCTTTCAGACGGGACCGGACAAATATCCGACGCACTGAAAATTCCTCCCCGACGACAACGTTCAGCGGGAAGCTTTCTCGAGGCCGACATGAGGCGGAAGTAGAAGAAGCAGTACCGAGCGAAAATAAAAATATCATTCGGAAGCCACCAACGGGAGGAAAAGTCGGACACGATTTTTTCCCTTGCTCGACTGCTCGTTGACCCGCGTGCATTCGCGGTCTCCGAAAAAGATTCCGTATAACATCGGGAAAAAGGAAAGACCAGCGAGAGCAAGAAAAAAAGAAGAGAGAGAGAGAGAGAGAGAGGAGCAGGAGAGAGTTTACGAGCACCCGCGATGGGAAATCGATACGATATTTCATCCGTTTCGCCGTCAACGATCTCGAAGGTGCGAACGGCTAAGTTGCAGTGGCTGCACCCACCGACTCGCCGTCCTTTGTGCACCCTCTAGCACCCTCGAAAATCCTTTAAACGTTCATCCCTTTAAGCAGCAGCACGTCGTCGAGCCGATAAGACGACGCTCGACGCGACCACGCCGTCACCTTTCGATCGGTTTATTGACCTGTAGCGTGAAGTCATCCGTGTGCAGGTGCGACGCGAGCGATAGACAA